TTGGTAGTTCATGAGATACAGATACTATGCTATGAAACCAACACAATATTGTAATTTGATCATAAATATTTAAAAATCACAAATACGAGTGAAGTTAAATTTAGATTAGGAGTATAATACAAAAATATGATAAAAGGAATGCCTACTTTATTTTCATTACTGATAGGGGTGTTGCTATTTGCAGCACTGTTGAGAAACTGAGACACTTGAGCTTTAGAATAAAACTTTCGTCCAGATGGACTGATGTAACACTGCAAAACAAAAAACAAAAAATAAAAAATAAAAAAGGGAAGAAAAATTAGGAAATTACCCTGTAAAATAAAAAAGAAATGAAGATAAGAGTCTCTTCTCACCAGTACATTCCATTACACAGAAGAATAGCGCATTCAAATTTTTTATAGTTAAATAAACCAACTTTTCCAATGTACAAACTGCAGTAGCACCTTTCACTTTAGATGGAATAGTAGGGATTCCAAAACTACTGTACTTATGTGCATAACTTACGAAAATAAAATGGAAAATTCTTAGAAGGGATGTGTCAGCACAGTTAAGATAATTTTGGTTTCTATACCTTGTAAGTGCTACCATTGTGTGAGCCAGTTGACCGAGTTTTCAACTCAACTGTCCATCCAGGAGGTAACCAATCTGAAGATTGATTTGTGTTTGATGCAAGCTATGGGCAGCAAATAACAAAACTAGTCAGAAGACAGGATTAAGGAAAAGAGTCAAGCACAACCAAAAAGATGGCTAGAACCTTTGAACTTGGCGAAGGTGAAGTAGTACTTCTTTTGGAGCGTCTACTCTCAGGTTTGGGGGTTTCTTGATTTGGAACATCACCATTATTGATTCCTTGATTTTGACCATCACCATTACCAATTCCTTGAATTTGAGTTTCACCATTATTGATTCCTTGATTTTGACCATAGTTAACATCTCCCGCCTTCACAAGGTTTATCACAGCCTTCCTGGAATAAAATTTTTTCCCATTTTCCCCATTTGTGTAGTACTGCAAGGCCAACAAAGAATGATAAGTCAAGCATATAGGCAGTTGCATATCAGCTTTCTGCATTTAAATCCTTTAGGTGAGGCAACACTCTATTGACTGCAATTTTTACACAATGTTCACAGAAAATGCCCCATGCTTCAACAACATTGCTACATTATGAAGGATAAAGGCAACTGGGTTCATTGAAGCACGTATTATAACTCCGGTACAGGGAAGAGATATCTTGCCTTCATTTTCATTTCTAATAATGGGAGACAGAATAAAAATTTAACAACAATACCAGAAATAAAGAGTTTCATTTATATATTTAATTACTGAAACATGAAAAATCATCCAACACAAAAGAAACACATTCCTTAAATCCAGCTACTTGCAGCTAGAGAACAAAACCCATATGTTTCCTCTCATCAACAATAACAAATAGGCTAATAGCTCATCTGGTTGCAAATACAAATCAGAATAATTTACAAGCACACCAAAACTATCATAGTCAACTGCAAATTAAAACCTTCATGCCTTCAACCATACAAATTATCTAGAATATCACAAACAATTTGGGCACCAAGCCTAAATGAAATTTACCAAACCAGTAGTTTAATTAACTATGTTGAAATCTCTCAACTTACAGAATTTGTAACTAGATCAAGATTGTTTTTTTTTTTTGCTTTTTTTTTTTTTTGGAAGGGATCCAGTTTGCTTTTTTGTTCAAGGAATATCAGTAAGCATCAAGTAAACAAGCAGATCTACAGTCAAAGGCCCTAATCAAGCAAAGGGATCATGTTAATTACAGATTTTTGGTGATATATACAGAAAGATTGAAACTTTAGCTATGTTAAAGTAGAAGAAATGAGCTGAAGCGGTTGGGTTACCTTGATCGTACGACCGTTTTTTACTTGCACATGCTCGATCCATCCGGGAGGAAGAGGCTCCGGAGATTTTCCGGCGACCATGTTGCCAGAATATCAAGATTCTGTGAAAAAGTGGTGACAAGATTAAGGCTTTGTCCTTGGTCAAGAACTGGAAAGCAGTGAAGAGTGAAGATAAACACAAAGGGTAGGTTGGCAGGCTGGTTAAACACGTGTCACTTCCACAGAACTGTCTGAAAGGAAAAATAAATCTAAGCTAATTCTATTTTTTATCCTACATTTATATTCCATATATAACAGTTCATTTTTAGTCTTTTTTGTTAGAGTTCTACTATACATATTGTCAATTTTTACTTTCTTACTTCTACTCCCTAAAGAATCGGATAATAAACAATGATTGATTATTTTTATTATGTGATCCAAAAAAAAAAAAAAGTGTCTACATCAATAACATGTAAAACGGAATAAAAGTTGGGAATATAAAATAGAGTCCACCAAGTATTGCCATTTTGATTATAACGTTCTTATTTTGTTATAGTATCATTTTAGCATTACTATTTTTAATCACATGTCAACAAAATTGGTGAAATGTTATTAAATACAAAAATATTTTGATTTTTTTTATACAAAGTAAATTGACCCGCTATATTTTTTATGTTTATTTTTTTAAAAAAAAAAACAAATACATAATTGAAGATCCAAAGGTCGATTGTATGAATATTATTGTCCAAAAATGTATAGTACAACTCTTATAGCATAATATATATTTAAAAAAATGGAACAAAAAAAAACGTACAAAAATCAGGGGTATAACCTTGATTGAAACTTATTATGTTTTTAGATTATATAAATTTTAATGTGTCTCTCCAAGTATACATTTTGTTCTTTAATATTAATACTATTATATCTAATTATACTCGGTAGTGATTGTGCGGTTCCTTCCTTATTCAAAACAACATAAAGTAAATAATACACTATTTTTTTTTTTAATTTCATCCAATTTAAAAAGATACTTATTGAATGAGACTATTGATATGTTTATTTTAAAAAATTAACCCTTAAAAATCAAAATTACAGTTAAAATGTTGTTGCTGAGCACAAAAATAGTGGATAGGGCAATTAAAGAAAAAAATAAAGGAGCATTTATTGTATTTATTTATTTCTAAAGATGATAAAAGGTAACTGCTTGGTTAATATTAGTACTTTTTAAGTATATTGTTAACTTTAAAAATCTCTCAAAATATGATTTTGTTTAATAAACAAATATTTTTTTTGTGTTCATACGATGAATGTTTCGAGAACAGATGTTACCATAATCGCCTCTATCGATGCGGTCAAACTCACTACCTCTTATATAGAAGAGTAACTGAATTGATACCAATGGACCACAACGTCTTTGGTTATATATTTCACCATTTAATGCTATATATTCAAGTTGATGTCATGTCAAAAAGTCCCAAACTACACAAGTCGCACATTTGTATAGTAGTATGATTAACGTTCCCATCATTGATATTTCATTTCGTACAAAATGAAAATTCTAAAATCGTGTGACCAAAATTTAGTAACATTTCATGTTGTGCCTACCTAAATTATTTAGATTTAACTCGATTAATTATATGATGCCTAGGAGAAGATGGTTGTAATTTTTTGGTGCATGTTTTTCGTGAACAAAATTTTGTTGCTGATTTTTTTACAATAGTAGGGCGGACAGAATGTCTGTTGATTCTCCCCCTGGATGCGACATCTTAGTCCGTAATGATTAGTTGGGGATGTGAGTTCGTGTCTCGTTTGTGAAACGACGTAGGCTAATTGTGTTTTTGTGTCTCGGCATGGATCTTCCTATTTTTTGTATTCCAAAAAATAATAATTATACAATGACTTGAGTTAAATTTAACTTACCAAGACTATATGGTCTAATGGTACCCGAGTTTCTATACTACAATGTAATAGAGCCAGTCACATTCAAAAAAAAAAAGAGTTAAATTTAACTTATTTAATAAGAAAATACTCGTTAGCGGTTGAAATTAACTTCGAATATTTAAGGTTTTCAAAAAAAAAAAAAAAACTTGAATTATTTAATGTTTTATTGTTGGAATTATTCAATTAATTTCATATAACCCAACACCACTAATATAGAAATATATATAGTACAGTAAAGTAATATATAATATTTATTCACCACTATAGCAGATGAAAAGGTAGATCTCTGTTGACATTATTATACTTATTGGCCCGGTTTGTTAAAATAGTTAGTCTATAATAAATTAATTTCGATTTATTTAATCACTATTAGTTATTTGACTTGATTAAAAAATTAATATAGGTGCTTGGTTAATTAGTTTTTTGTATATAATTCTAAAATGCTAAAATTTAAAAAGCTTTTTGAGAAAAAAAATTATATCAAACAGCTATAAGCTAATTAACAACTAATTTACCAAATACACTTTTACAATCAGCTAATGTTATTAAATAGTTATACCATACAATTAACTCAATCAGCTAACAGCTAATCGCCATTTATCAAATTAAACCCTCTAGTTATGTTGATTAATTAATTACTATTTTTCCAATACGGAAAAAAAAAAAAAAAACAATATCTCAGTAAGAGAATAATGTAACGTAACCATTATTATATTGCTGTAACGTAATGCGGTGGACCATGGATAGGTAAAACATGCGGCTTACATGATAAACGTACTGTGAGGGAACCTTGTTTTACTTATTTCCACTCATCAATTATTTATTTATGCTGAAAAGCAGTTAAAATAATCCCAATTCATTACATGAATATATTTTTATCACTCATATAAGTGTTTAAAAATCGAGAGTTTTTGATTGATAATGTGAGGTTAATTAAACCGTACCATTGTTTCACCACTTTTAAGACTCACAAAAATATTTTTCAATATTGTTGATTACCAACTAGTGAGAATTTATGTTCAATGACTTGTGGATCATATCAATTATTGCCTTACAAATATATATATGAGAATTATATATATGTGCTTTTTTTTTCCCCTTTATTTTTCTGAATAAAATTAAAAAAAATGTAAAGAAAATAAAATACGATGAACGGTTAAGTGCAATTTAATGCGTGTTCAGGCAATTTAAATTAAAAAATGAAATGCAAAATTGTAATATTTCATTCACGATGCTCAAAGTTTTATTGTCCTAGCTATTACAAAACATAAAATGAAAACATATAGAGAGGGGAAAAAATATTCCAATAAATTATTCTTACTACTATTTTTTTTTAATGCAAAATATTCCAAAATTAAACTAGATCGAATAGAATTTATTATTTAATTTATAATATTTGGAGCTGAGCTGAGGTGATAAGATCGATCGAGGTGGTGGGGATGGGATCATGCATCCAGGCCATGCATGCATGGATGTATATATGATATATATATACTACTCCTCCTGCTGTGCAGCTGGGGGGTCGGATGCAGCAGCGGAGGCGGCGTCGTCTGCGGCGGGGAGGACGGCGGAGAGATCTTCGTTAGCCTTGAGGGAATTACTCTTGCGAAGATTATTATAAGAGCCTTTCTCCTTGAAGAGCTGAGAGAAGTGGGGTTTGCAGTAAAGGAGTCCATCCAAGGCGGCGTAGTTTGAGGTGGTGAGTATGCAGCCTCCATGCGAGCACTTGAAGCATGACTTGTGGTAAAACTCCCCGTCCACCGTCACCTTCTCCAATGGGTACACCGTCTTCTTACAGGCGGCGCACTTTTCTTGGGTGCCGGAGAACATACCCGACAGCTTGCTTTGAGTTTTTGTCTGTCATTAAAGAACAGAACACTTTTAATTTTTAGCCGTAACTAATTAAAGGAATGAATATATATATATATATATATATGCATGAAAGATTATTATTGTATGTATGTATGTACCAGCTGTTCGCCGCCCTGTTTTCCAACTGTTGATGATCAAACAATAAAATGGAATCATCAGAAGAAAATGTAAACATGATTATAATGTAACCTTAAATGATGGAAATGACGGAAGTTAATTAACGACGTACGTGACTGTGATCTTGTGACGGTGACTCCTTTTTCCTTAAACATCTGCTCGAAATGTGGGTTGCAGTATAAAGCTCCATCCATGGTGGAGTAGTTGCTCAGCTTCAATTCGATCAATAATTAATTTCATCCGCCCATTAATATAATAAATAAAATTTCAATTACAAAAATATACGTAAATATATACTAAATTAATATATATATATATATATATATATATATATATATACCGCGAGTCGGCCATTGCACTGGCGGCATCTGAAACAAGTATTGTGATAAGTTTCGCCACGAGCAGCTATCATCTCTGCCGCGTAAACATTCTTATCACAGACCTTGCATTTTGATTGTGTTCCGCCATTGAACGACGCCATTTTATATATATTATTATATGTATATATAAATGTTTTTTGGGGGGTGGGGGTGTGGTTTAGCACGGTTGAAACCCTCTTATTACCATCCAATCCACATATGATATGATGGGCGGTAATGGGACAGATGAGATGGAATTAAGTACAGTGGCCGCCGGATCGGATCGGAGTTCCAATAATATTACAGATTGAAAAGCTACAGGCCGGGAGGAGCTGATCGAGGAATGAAGAATAATGTAATTAAGGTGGTTGGGTTAGTTATGTGAGTAGCTAGGTTAGAGGAGGGTGAAAATGGACAACATTGGAATTGATGTGTGGAGATGCATGCTTCTGCCACTTATTTAGGATCCATCAAAAACACACATAATCTCCTAAGACACTCAAACACGTGTAATGCTATTATCATCTCATCACTCTTTTACTTTTGACCAAATTATTTATTGACCGGGTTATATCATATATATGATACACCATACCATTTTCATTTGTCCAAAGGCCGGATAAATTTCATGTTTTTTTCTCCTAAAGTTTCCGACCAAATTTCATTTTTATATACATCTTTATAGTTATTTACTAATTATACTAACAATGCATATTTCACTTATAAAATATTTTCAAAGAACTAGTATCAACGTACTTTTCTCTAAATCAAAATAGTTATTTCATATGCGTGCTTAAGTTACTCATCATGAAAATAAATTTGGTTCATACCAAATCACAAGTAAACAAAGTTAATATTATATTATAATAACAATGTGATCGAGGTGGATGTCCGAGTCTTACCACTCTGATCTGTCACTAGAAAGTCTTGATCCCGACTAACTTAGCTTTACTATATTTAAGATGTGTGGAAGTTGTTAAAATGACCTTATATTCTCATTGACAAGCACCAATTATGATAGAAAGTTGTATATGCACGACGACATACGTATATATATTATTAAATATTTTGTAACAACTAAATTATATTTGTTGGCTTGTTTGATCACTATTAACTGTTTGATTTGGTTAAACGACCAATATGAGTGTTTGGTTAATCAGTTTTTTGTAACAGTTTATTGCTTCAAAACGCTAAAATTTAAAAGTTGTTCAAATTAGCTTTTTCAAGCAGCTTTTTGAGCAAATAAATTATATCATTAAAATTCATTTTGCGTGTAATCAATTATCAGCTAACAACTAATTTACCAAACATCTTTCTACAACTAACCATCTAATGCTATTATCTAGTCAAACCTGCTAACAGCTATTTACCAAACACCCCCATTTATATTCTCGTTAACAAACATCAATTACGATGGCAAATTGTCTATGCACACGGCGACATGCGTATGTGTATTATTAGCCTAAGCTAATCCTAGAAGGTAACTCGACTGAACATGAACCACCACACCACAAAGGTTAGACCTTTGCTTACTGTGTACAAGGAGCCCCCTCACTTAGGTAACTCGACTGAACATGAACCATCACACCGCAAAGGCTAGACCTTTGCTTACTGTGTACAAGGAGGCCCTCACTTTTAGAGGTTGCTCCCGCACTGTCGCTGGTGAGACTCGATCCCTGATCATTCTTTTCAACTTTTACCTCTATGACCCGTTGAGCTGTCCATACGGGTCACTTTGAATGGTTACGGCTCTATTTATTCATTATCTTTACTCTCTTATCTTATTTAAATCATCAATGATTTTTAACATTAATCCACTAATTTATATATGTTGAGATTATGTAGAGTTTTTTTTTTTTTTTTTAATACTACTAATTCTATTACAATGTAATATGAATTATATAGAATTTATATACACCAACACCATCTAAAAAAAATTGATTGATTCTAATGAATATTTTTACTTTTGGTTTTTAGTGTAAATGTACCATGCGTGGGGCGTGCTATTGTACGGTTTATTTTATTTTTCCGATTTAGAGCCTCGCATTCTCGCAGTTCTAAAAAAATCACCACATTTCATTTCAAAAATTAAATTTTAGTCCTTAAATTTTAATGATCGGCGTAAACTGAGAGTGCCGGTACAATCTGTGCATTGTTTTGGATCGCGGGAAGCATTTAGAGAGAATTGTGCTCGATGAACGCGCGACGGAGGTATTCGCCGGGGACTGGGAACGGAGGAGGCGACGGTTACGGCGGGGGTGGCTTTCAATCCAACCATAATTCCCGCGGCGGTTACCGTCAGGGTAGGAACCCTTATTACCAGTATGGGCAGCAGCACTACCCTTCTCAGCCTCAGCAGTATGGTAAACGGAGCTTGCAGAATGAGCCGCACCAACAACAGCAGCAATGGTTGCGCCGGAACGCTAGTGGAGCTCCGCCGGAGTCAAGTTACAATGAGGTTAGGAAAACTATCCACTCCGACGGGATTGATTCGAGGTGCATTTTCGCTAATTGCTCCCATTTTTTTTTTCTTTCTATTTTTAATAACTCCAATCGTCATAGCGACTAATTAGTTGGTTATCTATAATTTTTATTTGTGGTTTAAAGGGTCTTAGCTATTATTAAACTGTGATTTTGATTTGATTCTCACCCATTTTTCTTGGTTAACTCAGCTCTAATGTTTGGAAGGCTCGCCTAAATATTCCACCGCCTGACACTCGGTATAGGACTGAGGTTTGTTGAAATATGAACATAATATTTACAGGCCATTTCTTTTTGACATAGGCGACATAGCATCTCTGATTTTATTTCAGGATGTGACTGCAACCAAAGGAAATGAGTTTGAAGATTACTTCTTGAAGCGTGAGCTACTCATGGGGATTTATGAGAAGGGATTTGAAAGGCCTTCTCCCATCCAGGAGGAGAGTATACCTATTGCACTCACTGGGAGTGATATTCTTGCTAGAGCTAAAAATGGAACTGGCAAAACAGCTTCCTTCTGTATTCCTGCACTGGAAAAAATTGATCCAGACAACAATGTCATTCAAGGTTTTTATTTCTACAAGTAACTAACTTTCAATGATGTAATAGGGGGATGTTGAGCCCTTCTGTTTCCCCATTAAACGTTTTGCTCTTTGATTGCAGTGGTGCTTTAAAAGTTTGAGTCTTTCCTTAATAAAGTTAATTCATGACTTGATAGTGCATGCAACATATAAGATTTGAGTTTTCTTCATATTTAATCTCTTGCACTCGTGTTTTCACCCGTACAGCCATATATTTGACATTCTAATCCTATTTTTAATGTTTGATAATGCAGTGGTTATACTTGTCCCAACAAGAGAGTTAGCACTTCAGACATCTCAGGTTTGTAAGGAATTAGGCAAGCACTTGAAGATACAGGTAATGGTCAGTACAGGAGGAACAAGTTTGAAAGATGATATCATGCGTTTGTATCAACCTGTCCATTTACTTGTTGGAACTCCTGGAAGAATACTCGATCTTGCCAAAAGGGGTGTATGCATTTTGAAGGACTGTGCAATGATTGCTATGGATGAGGTATTCCAGGAAGCAAATTATTTTATGTTCTGGTTAGTTCTTCCAAAAATGGGCATACAATGTTTAGATAACATGTGTTTCTATCTCCTTCCCCCTAGTTTTAGCTTGTTTGTCAGACTAAAATGTCAATAGAAAACAATTAGTATAATGGATCTGGCATAAATAGAATATTACAATGATCAGAGGTTGCAGTTTATTTTTCTGTTTCAAAAAACATTGGTTTATTGAATGTAATTGACCCTTCTCTATAATAATCTGTCTAAAATTTAGGAATGTCCACGTTGAATATGTTGCTAGGTAGGTCTATCTTTTCTCCCAGTCATGGATAGTAGGCAAAGGTAGTAAAGTTAACCGGAATGAATTTGTCTTCCAGGCTGATAAACTTTTATCCCCCGAGTTTCAACCTTCTGTGGAGCAACTAATTATGTTCCTACCTCGACATCGACAAATTTTGATGTTTTCAGCTACATTTCCAGTGACTGTCAAGGATTTCAAAGACAGATATCTGCAAAAGCCTTATATTATTAATCTAATGGATGAGCTTACACTCAAAGGTATAACACAATTTTATGCCTTTGTAGAAGAGCGGCAGAAGGTCCACTGTCTCAATACCCTTTTCTCTATGGTTCGATCTTTATCTCACATATGACCTCTCAATCCATTTTTGTGGGTCTAATACTCTTATGCATAACATATTTCCCTCTGCAGCTGCAAATCAACCAATCAATTATTTTTTGCAACTCTGTGCACCGAGTGGAACTGCTTGCAAAGAAAATCACTGATCTTGGCTATTCCTGCTTCTATATCCATGCAAAGATGCTGCAAGATCATCGGAACAAAGTCTTTCATGACTTCCGCAATGGTTCCTGCAGGAATCTTGTTTGTACTGGTATGCCTTTTCCTGTGCTTCTCTATATGGAAATATGTGCCTAGTTGCATAGGTGATACTTGAATCTCAAAGCTATTTTTTATTTGCAGATTTATTCACAAGAGGAATAGACATTCAAGCTGTCAATGTTGTGATTAATTTTGACTTTCCTAAGAACTCAGAAACTTATCTGCACAGGGTATATTAAATTCATCCTTGCAGGATTTGTAGTTTACTATTATATCCTTGATTTTTAATTCACTTTCAAGGACAGACAAACTTTCTTTTCCATTTGACCATTGACTTTCTATGATCAGGTGGGCCGTTCAGGAAGATTTGGGCATCTTGGATTGGCTGTAAATTTGATCACCTATGAAGACCGGTTCAATTTGTATGTATTTAGTATATTGTTAATATGTTTTAGATGACATCATATACACTGGCAGTCCTAAGACTAATAATGTGCTAATCATTCCTTTTTCATACTTCTCGTATGGACAGGTATAAAATTGAGCAAGAACTTGGGACTGAAATTAAACCAATTCCGCCCCATATAGATCAAGCTATTTACTGTCAGTAATAAGCCAACTAAAGTAAAACCAACTATGTGTAAGTGAGACAGGCATCTGGTATATTTCTTGCACCGCTGCCACTGGCTAAATGAAATGCAAGCTGCTTGATGATGCTCAAGCTATAATAGAGTTTATGATGATAATTCACTGTGGTTTTAGTACCGAGAGGTGGATTTCTCTCCTCCTATCCCACGATTTCTCATGGATGGATATGGATCGGGGTGGGGATGGAGTTGTAAATCTTCTCATCAAGTTGACGGTACTTCACCTTGTTTTACTTGTAGGCAATTTCTGCACTTATTGGAGGCAATGGCTACTTACTCCGTGGATCAAGATATATTGGAAGCTGCAGCTTAATTTGTAGCAGGGATATGATGCTAACGTTGATGCCCGGGTGAGTAGTGACTTGTTACATTTATGAGCTGTAAGTACTTGAGTAGATAGAATGGACAATTACATATTATATATGGTCTTTCTCTTCCCTGCCTAGCTTTTGTAACCTTTTTCAGTCTGTTAAGAATGAAGTTGAGATCCCAATTTATTTATGTGATTTTATTGAAATATATATATATATATATATGCTTTTATTATTGATTGTTATAATATACATGATGAGCTATTCTCCCTGCCCTAAGCTCCCCACAAAAGAAATTAGCAGCCAAACCACCCCAAAAACCTCTTGGGAGTGTAGCCGCTTGATCTGAATTTTGCAGCCATGTCCTCAGCCTTGAGGATCTCTTCCTTTCGTTGTGCTTCAACTACTGCCCTCTTCTCATCTGCCACCTTGTGAATTTCAGCTTCTTTGTTCTTCATTTTTGCTCTATGTTCAGCCTTCTTCTTCTCAATATTTTCCTGTTTGCATTGTGTTAAACGTACGTAAACACATAGATATTACACTAAGGAGAAGAAAATCAAACACAATAATTCCTTAACTGTACCAACACAGCCCGAGCAAAGACACTTTAAAATATTCCAAAATTTATATTAACAATTTACCTCAATCTGCCTTAGTTGAGCATCCATAGTCGCCTTGTTAATGTTTTCCCATGATCTAATTGCAGTCAGCTTTTTGTGTGCCCTGAGTGGGTATGTCATCCTATATATTAGAGAGACAAGTCAAAGGTACCAAAGAAAACAAGGAAAAATCATACTAACTTGTTGTCAGCTACAGTTTTTTCATTCTCTTCCCATGCTTTGATCAAAGCCAATCTTTTCTCCAATTCCACTCTAGCCAGGGCACCATCTATTATTGTATAAGAGTAAAATTAAAAACAAAATCAAGATAATTAAGGCAGCCCAAAAGTTATTAACAAACTAATAAATCACCTCTGTCCTTGGCACTCCCTGCACCATCTGTCTCACCAATCAAGATTCAGACAGTTAAAATTTCAAACCATAAAAGAGAAGGCTAAAAATGAAAACAAAATTCTGATTTCCTTGTTCTTTTCCTTTCAAATGTAGAAAAGAAGACAGATGCATTTATTTGTTTTTCCCCAAGAAATATATAGAAAGGAAAAGAAGAGAGAAAATATATACTTTGTGAGGCAGGAGGAAGTGGCACAAGGGATAGAGCTCTCTCATTCTTCTTCTCAGGTGAATGATGGGCTGGAGGATTTTCCTCTTCTTCTCCCATGTTTATGTATATCAAATTATCAATACAAACCTTTCTACAGGAATATGGTTGCAGAGGCCAGTAGATCTTCAAGAAAACAAGAAAAGAGTATATAGTAAATTAAAAGGGGAACAACATAGGAAAGTATATTAGTTATTAGTGCTTTGTTTTGTGTCATTATGAGATGAATCAAATTGATAGAGTTTCCATAGAGACAACAATGGCAATGAGCTGTAATCATGAAATAAAAAGAAAAGACAAGTTATTTAAGTAACTTTTTTTTTATTGTTGATTTTGAAGATAAAAACCATAGAATTAATCCTTCTGTCTAATGTAACCTTCCATTTGAATCAACATCTTTTGATTTTCTCATCAATTCTTTAGCATTAAGAAAGTATTTCAATGGACATCTTCCGTCCTTTATTATGACAGTTTATGAATATTTAGGCTCAACTCCCAGAAATTGAAACTGGATGGCCCTCTTTGAATTACACAAGCAGAAGAGAACTTGGGCCGACAAAATATAGACATAGCCCATTTGTTATGTTTTAATATTTTGTCTTGAGGTGTGTTTTTTTGAGTGACGAGGAAAACTTACAGTCACTATTTGAGGGTGTAGACAAGGTAAATTTATAATTGACAGGCTCAAACCAAGAAGACTAATAGGGGGCTCTCGTTAGGAATTGAACTTGTAACGTTGTGGTTACCAAGTCAACACTGTGATTAACTTAGCTGAGATTGTCCTGTCTTGAGGTTTAAATTACTATCCTGTACTGTACTTTGTAGCTATTGTTATAATCGATCTGGTCACGCTGCATGCATATCTTTTATTAGGGTTTTAATGCATGCATGCAGTAGCTATGGAAGACATTCATATATTAATTCATCTAGCGCAGCTATCATTCAATTCATTATCTTACCCAATTTAATTTTTCAACTCCCAATGGCTTCTTCAATGTTGTGTGTATATATACTATAAGTACGTATAGTACATACATAATTTCATCATCTACTGCTTTTTATTTTGAGAGCAAGCACTTTTCCTTGACCATTATTATATTAATTAATTTCTGGGTTTCACTTTTTTCTGTTTAATCACGACGTGTCAATCCTTTCATCTTCTTTTGGTATCCTCTTCTACAAGTCACATAATCACACTGCACTTTAATGGCGGCATTTCAATTCGATAATGGCGTTGCCATCATGTGACACAAAAAGATAAAAACAAAAGTAGTTAACAGTACTTATTCGAAACATTAAAGCAATCATCCCCTCGTGAGCAAAAGTGGATTAAATCACCTAATTATCCGCACAGCTAATTGTGAATAATTGTCTTAATTAATGCATACAATAATACATCGTATTACTGATTGGACTGCATTGTCTTATGATTATGTTACGCTGTGTGTACTGTGTGGTTTTGTTTTTCTAATTTGTTATATGTAGTGGAAATTAATTAAGGATTGTTTGGATGTTTCTTAAGTGGGGGAATAGTCTTCTGTTTCTCCTTTTTCTAATTTCCAGCCATTTTCAAGATTAGTAGTATTTGTCATTATTAGTAAGATTTGGTGCATGCAAGTGACAGCCCTCCATAGGAACACCTCACCATCATCCATCCGTTAAGTCGTTTAATTTAATTAATTTAATTTCGTGCTAGTTTTAAAGTGGAAACCCTTCCATTCTTAAGCACACGATTAATGGTCCGAATTCATATATATGTACATAGCAACACTTTTAGAAGAGTTGTTCCTGAATAAGATTTGATCAAATCGTACTTCATTGAATTAATCTCATGTTGCTAGATGCGAATACTAATGTAATATGCAAATAAAATAATGATTACCCTTTAATTTTTTTAATTTTTTTTAGAACGTTACAAAGTCACGTCAGTCAAATTAGTACTCAAGTAAAATATCTTACTTATTGGTCCATCTTTTTAAATTAAGACGCATATATATAGTGGATTAAAAGGTATTTGTGACAAGAGAGATGAAGGGTGGGGACCATCTGGTGTCTAATCAATAATAAACTTGAATTGGAAAATGTTGTTCATCTTTCTTCTCCTTTATTAATTAGCTTGGCAGATGATTTCAAAGGGTCAAATCTCTCTTGTTGGAGAAGAAGGCCCTTCCCCAAACCCAATGCTGTCTTGTACTATAAGTAACACCACATTCACATCATATATATATATTGATAATTGATTGATTGTTCTTCTTTGATACTAAACCATTAACTAATTAAGAGCCCAATTTATTGGTTTATGATTTTGACATGAATCAATTTCTACTTTGGTAATGACTAGTATTTTCGACCACTTGGGATTGGATGGTTAGAAATAGCTATCATGATTTTTCTGTATTTTCAAGTGCTCAGATCAAATGTTTTAAATTGAAAACATACCTTAGTTTTTTTTTTTTTTTTTTTCCTTACTTCTGAATGATTGAAAACACAAGAATTAGAAAGGGATGATTGTGAGTCTGTAATTGAGTAGTTGGAACATAATTCTCGTACTAGAAAGTTACGAGTTTAATTCTTGTCAATACAAATGCATGACAAATTAATGCAGTTAATATGCAGTGATTTTTTATTTAAAAAAAAAAAAAAAAAAACTGTTCGTAGGTGCATGCCAGCTGCTGCTTCATATCTTGCTTCAAGGAGTGACAATGAATGAGGAGGGTTACACATTAAAACTGCATAGGCCTAGCCCACCTGAACATGCAACTTAACTGCCATTGCATTATTATTATTATTTATTGGATTTGGTATATACATACATATATACATGCATTCTCAGTTAGATTCATAAAATAGTAGTAGCAGATCGATGTACTATCTACTACAGGCTTTATGTCTCTTAATTACAAGAAGTTGAGAATTGAAGGTGGACACCTACATATATATAAAGTGATTGCCATACAGTAAAGCCACTCCGATCCATACATTGTTGTTAGTACAGATAGCTTACGAATGCAATATCGTATATTCGTATGCAATAATAATGTGGACAACTGAAGAGCTGTTTGTGGTCCGACCATGTTACGTTGCATATACATACATATGTGTTTTGAAGTGGATCATCATTGCATTATTTGCATGCTACACCACCACCATTATCAAGAGGGCTTGAAAATGACACTCAATTTGTTTTATTTTCAATTCTTAAGTTTTTGTGTGAATTTAACCGTTATGAATAGATACAAAAACAATAAATGTGTATTTATCAGTTAATGTGTTAAAAATTAAAGGTCAAACTTTAGTTAGATTAAGTGTTATATATTGCTCCAATAGCTGTAGGCCGACCAGTCAGGAAATGTGACATTACATTATCTTCTACTATATATATAATGCCACCATCAAAACAATTGGCCATGAGATGTTTACTAAGAAAAAGGTGTATACCAAAATGCATAGTGATCATATATATAATTGATGGTGCGGTGAATAATAGATAGTGAGGATGGAGTCGGTGCATATCTATCAAAGTGGGTGTGTATATATGCTCATGATATGATGAAAAACATGTGTAAGTTGAGTGGCCAAGGGGCCGGCCAGGGAGCTTAAATTTCAAGTATGCATAGTATATGCCACTACCATTCAAATTCATGCTAAATTCAAAAATAACTATCTGAAATTAAAGAAGACTATTCAGTACTTGATAAAGTTTAATAGGAATAAATTATAAAGTATAGTTCCGCATAAAAACTCAAATCGAAAAATGACTATTGTACTCGGTGTCGAAAAAAATTTAAAGTGTGAGTCATTGTAATTATGAATATTTCAAGAGATAAATTGTGGAGTGATATTTTATTATAGAGTGAAAGTTGTGTAGTAAATAAGGATGTATAACTGTATATGGGTGTCGGTAGGTATACTGTGGGGTGGGAGCCAAAACCAAAAAAATGACAAATGAGAAACGACAACCTAAGTTTGTGCAAGTATTATAAGAAAGAGGCAATGGCTGTTATTTTTGGCTACAAGATGAAGTTTGTTTGGTAATACTATGCAACCATTTTTTTCTTTTTAATGGTTCAATGGTTGTTTTCATCTCATTTATTTGTCACTCTATAATTAGTATGTATTAGCCACGGCTGACTGCAAGCTGCCACCTCGATCTAAATAATTAATAATAATATAATGTGCCAATTCAAGATTCCCTTCTATGTTCTCATTTGATTTCATGTCAACAGCTTTGCTATATATATAAGAAAAAAATATAATTAAAATCAACCCAAACCCAATTCAAGCCGTAGTTGACTTTACCTTCAAAAACTAAATGGTGATGTTGAGGTCATATCGGTCCTAATTACTTACACATATAAATAGCGAAAATATTATGATTAAACTTTGCTGTTAATATAGTCTAGTGGCATAGAGTGATCTTTTTCAATGTGAAATAATGGATTCGGGCTTTAGTAGAAGCGATTATTGGAATCCTATACTTTCATGTGAATTAATTAGATAAAGTAATAATGTTAAATGATATTATATTGAAATATAAATTAAAAAAAATTATACTCATATGACGTCACTAATATAGCTTTATTTAAAACCCCACCAAGAAAATAACAAAAATGGAATTCAATTATTCTACAAATAATTCCAAATCTAAATATATGTAGCTTTGTTTACATTTGACCCTACCCAAACGGACCCATGATTTAATTAGTGTTAGAATAAAAATATTAGTAGAATTGCTTAGGGGTGTGCTTGTCAATTCACATTGTAAATATTTTTGTAGGTACCATAGAAGAAGCAAAACAAAACATATATCAAATGTCACAATATCACGCTCACACAATTTGATGTTAACAACAAGTGAATCCCTTCGATTTATTGATAAAAGATGATGAAATTATAAGACATATTTACTAACATTATAGTCCAAGTACTATAAGTGTGCTTGGATTTCCTAGTTTTAAATTTGAGGTTAGATTTTCGAGTAATGGGATCGAGCGTCATTACTCATTAGTGAATTAAAAAAGGTCACATTCATTGTCAATTGCTAGCTATCATATTAGCACCTGTCACTTAGATCGTCGACCAACCCGAACACTCAATTGAGGTATGTTATGTTAACTTCGATAGTAAATATTTGACATGCTGCTCAGCTCTTTGTCTCAATTAAGGATTCCATACTCGTATATGTAAATGAGTTTATCTGTAATAGTTATGAAACTATTAGACTCGACTAATATCTATAAAAAAAAATATTTTCACTATTGCCATCCGATTTAATCATTAAAATTCTACAACATAACGTATTTTGACTCATCTACTCAAATCATATTACACTATCAAAAGACATACAAATTAAATAACAAATCTCAGTAACTAGCTAGCTAATCAACACATAAATTTACATCTCACAAAATATATTGGAGTCTCCTAACAAATATCTTCATGTTATATTGGATTTGACATTAAACAATCAATAATGTTTCACCTAAAAGTTTTCACCTAATAAGAAATGGAAGCTTCTTCCATCCACCTTTCATATCTTTTATTATTGTTATTACTTTAGCGGTGTGATATCATACACTTTTTTCTGTACACAATTTTCTTCTTCTACAATTTCTTTTTCTAATTTAGAAAAAGGGCATGCCACTTATTTTCTTTTTCTTTTAAACTGATGATATTGGTTGAAATTAAATAAAAAAGACAAAAAAAAATTAATTAATTAAAATATGATGTACTTGTCACAACTCACAAGGTGGTGACTTCTCTTTTTCAAAGTATACTATTGCATACAGAAAATATAGTGAGGGAAATGTAGGAATGAACTAGAGAGAGACAGAGAAGGAGGAGGAGAAGAAGAAGAAGACTACTGGAAAACGGCAGAAGATCACCGCTTCAGATCTGCTTTATCTGCGTCTCTTTACCCAATTCAATTCATTACTGTTCAATGCAAAGCCTCTGAAAATAGGAACTCCATTTTCTCTACTGAGTTTTTACTCACTCAGTCAACTCAGTGCCACACTTCTCTCTCTCCCTCTCCCTCTCTCTTTTTCTGATTCATTGTGGTCTAGATTTTAAAACTCATATTGGGTATTTTCGATTTTGAGAAAAGTTTTGATCTTTGATCTTTGCTGGGCACCTGTGATCTTTAACGTTAATGGTAGCTTTCGCCGGCGCTCATTGGAGCTCCGGTGAGTCGCTGAGGAAGCTCCGGTGAGTGTTGGGGGATTGGGTGAACAAAATGTGTATCTGAGAGCTAAAAGAATTTGAAAATGTTTAAGTCGGCGCGATGGCGGAGCGAAAAGAACAAGATCAGGGTTGTGTTCAAGCTGCAGTTTTATGCAACTCAGGTACTGCCTCAGGGAACTCCTCTGAATTTCCATATTTTAACTGAATTTGTAGAAAAATATTAAAGAAGAAACAGTGTGCTTTTTTCTCCCATTCTTGGAAATGAACGTTGAATTGCAGAAATTGTGTCTTTTCTGGGGTTGTAGCCTAGCCTTTGTGTACATTTTCTTGAAAAGATTGCTTTTTTTTTTTTTTTTTTTTTGTTCACCTGCTATAATTAATATCTGTGTAACCAAACCCAAATATGGAATTAAAGAACAATTGTTATTGGTATGGTGTCGCAGGTAACAGGGGATGCATTGATGATATCTGTGGTTCCAGCTGATGTTGGGAAGCCAACATTGAAATTAGAAAAGGCTGTAGTTCACAATGGGAGCTGTTACTGGGAGAATGCAGTTTATGAAACAGTGAAATTCAATAGAGACCAAAAATCTGGGAAGATCCATGAGAGAATCTATAACTTTGTTGTGGGAACTGTATGTGTAATTGTTCAAGTCTGCATTTACATACTTTGCTTCCTTTCGAGTGACTTTAGATGTTTAAATCTCCGGTGGATGTACTTTGTAGGGGTCCTTGAAAGCCGGAGTTGTTGGAGAGGCTTCCATTGATCTTTCGAGTTATGCAGAGGCAACCAAGGTTTCCTATGTGTCCCTTCCCCTCAAAAATTCGAAATCCGGGGCCATATTGCATGTAAATCCCTCTTCTTGCTCCTTCTAATCACTGAAATTATATGCATTTCTTCGCTTGTTATAATCTGATCAATGGTTTGGTATTGAGCTCTTATTTAGGTATCGATAAAGAGGGTTCAGGATTCTACAGTCCAGAGGTGCTGGTTAATTTCAAAATCTCGATGCTGCTGTTTCTTTAGGAATTCGATTTGAGTGTTTAATCCTGAATCCCGTTTTTCTTCTCTCTGTTTATTCAGTACCATTGTAGAAAGTGAACATGCAAAACTTAACCTTCAGGATAGGACGTTTAAGCCTCAATTTAGCAATGTGGATATGGACGACGGAGGTCTTAAAACCAATTCTGTTGATGTAAGTTCTCGTTTCGTGTAGCAGAATGCTTGCTGTACTGTTTTCTAATTCGCCTTTTCTCATAGAACTCGTTGCCTTTGTCAGGAAACTCCATTAAATAAGACTGTTTCTCATGTTCCCACATTGAATGGACGAACAGAATCTAGTGAATCTGATACTACTTTGTCGAGTTCTGAAAGCAGCCTTGGGCTTGATACACCTCGAGAAGTTGAAATGAAAAAGAGTAATGTTCATGAGAACGGGGTTAGCTCCTTATCTTCTCTGAATAATGGCTTGGTGCCACCGAGACCAGTTACTGATGTGCCAGTAATTCAAGATCATCAAAAGTCACAATGGGAGTGGTTAGGAGGTTCCGTTCTTGAGGTAAGTACAGATGGCTCGTTAAACAATCCTACAGAAGCCCTTCTTGAAGCATCAGAAAATGATTCGGATGTCGTTGAAAAGCTTAGATCAGAGCTCACTGCTTTGGCAAGACAGGCAGATTTGTCTGAGTTGGAGCTTCAGACTCTACGTAAGCAAATCGTGAAGGAGAACAAAAGAGCACAAGATCTTTCGAGAGAAACTGTTAACCTCAAAGAGGAACGGGACAAGCTCAAAGAAGAATGTGAAAAACTTAAAGCCTCTCAGAGAGATAAAGATAAGAAGTTATGTCCTGACAGCAAGGATGTTCAAGATATTGTCGATGAACTTAGACAAGAACTGAATTATCAGAAGGAAATTAATGCGAATCTTCAGATACAACTGCAGAAGACTCAAGAGTCAAATTCAGAGCTGATTCTTGCTGTCCATGACCTAGATGAAATGTTGGAGCAGAAGAATAAGGAGATCATGAATCTTTCGATGATATGTGATGATGCTGTAAACTTGCGAGTTGCAAACTCAAAACACAACATTACTGATCATGAAGATGAAGAGCAAAAGGCGCTGGAGCAGCTTGTCAGAGGGCACAGTGATGCTAAAGACGTATTCTTGCTGGAGCAAAAGATCATGGACATCCAACGCGAAATTAACATCTGCAGAAGAGATAAAGATGAGTTGGAGATGCAGATGGAACAGCTTGCGCTGGACTATGAGATCCTGAAGCAGGAAAACCATGAAATGCATTATAAATTGGAGCAAAGCCAGCTGCAAGAACAGCTGAAAATGCAGTATGAGTGTTCATCTTCGTATGCCACAGTGAATGAACTTGAAGGACAGATAGATGGCTTAGAGGACGAACTAAAGAAGCAGTCTAAGGAATTCTCAGATTCACTGGTCACCATTAATAAACTTGAAGCACAGATAGAGGGCTTAGAGGATGAACTAAAGAAGCAGTCTAAGGAATTCTCAGATTCATTGCTCACTATTACTAAACTTGAAGCTTATGCTAAGAGCTTGGAGGAAGAACTGGAAATTCAAGCACAAGGATTCGAAACTGATCTGGAAGCTCTGACCCTTGCTAAAGTAGAACAAGAGAAAAGAGCTATATGTGCTGAAGAAGAGTTGAGAAAGACACGGTGGCAAAATGCTAACACTGCAGAGCGGCTTCAGATGGAATTTAAGAGGCTGTCCCACCAAATGGCATCATCATTTGAGGCTAACGAGAAAATTGCTACTAAAGCATTGACTGAAGCAAATGAACTTCGTCTACAGAAAAGGCATCTAGAAGAGATGCTTCAAAAATCTTCCGAGGAGCTCCAGTCAGTGAGAGAGCACTATGAAGCAATGCTGCATGAACTTCCCTACCAAGTAATTATGATGTTGGGGTCAGAAATTAATGAAGAATCCATGCAGCTTGAGAACGTAGAGAAGTGTACTGAGAACCTCTCCGAGCAAATGTTAATGCTTAAAGCTGAGATTGAAAAGCTAGTAGCAGACACGAAGGTCCTCCCCGAGTATGCAAAGAAGTGTGAAAGTTTGACAGCTGAGTTGGAAAACACAAGGAAATCAATGAAGGAGATGGAATTGATGCTAGAACAAGGCAATGGTGAAAGAACTGAGCTGGAAAATCGACTAGCTTCAGTGCAAAAAGAAGCAGAGGAGTCTCTTAAAGAAAAGGAGACACTCGTACGGAAACTCCAAGAGGAGATGGATGTGCTTAGAATTGAATGTAGTGAATTGAGGAGTTCTCTATTTGAAGATGAGTTGGAGAAAGAGAGGTTGAGGAAGCATATGTTGCATTTGAAAGGTGATCTAAAGAAGAAAGATGATGCATTAAGTAGTTTGGATATGAATCTCAAGGATGCAAACAACAGGGCGAAGACTGTGGCTAGTCTAAAAGAGAAAATCAAGTTGCTTGAGGTAAATTTACACCCGTTCTTGTTTCACTTTATATGTTTCAATCTTGATCAAAATCTATGTTTAAATGAATGGTTCGTCATATTTGATATACAGTCTTCACAAATTTCAATAGTTAAAATATGCTATCGGGTATATTGAAAATTGTTTCTGGTGACAAACAGGACCAGATCACGCTCAAGGAAAATGCTCTTGAAACCTCATGTAATGCATTTTTGGAAACGGAGAAAGATCTTCAGACTAAAATTGAAGAACTCAGTCAGAATACTGCAAGGTCTTGTAAACTCCCATCTGCAAAGGTCAGTATTTAGGAAATTAATATTGTTCCCTAGTACCAGAGTTTTAATCTCAAACTCTGAATTTGTTTGCAAATAATCAATGTTCTAAAATTTAATTTTTTGACAGACAATTTAGCTGACAGTTAAATGTGCAATGCAGGTAGCTACAGAGGCCCTCAGTGTGAATTCTGGAACTACTGAACAAGTAAAGAGGTACGTTGTGCTTGAACTACTTGTCACAAAATGAAATTTTATTCTATGAATCATTTCGTTCTCATGCATTTCACCTTCTGGAGTTCTTCTGAGCAATATTTTATGCATTTTCTACAGTTCTAGCAGTTTATCAGACGAAGAAATGAAAGCATCCGTCTCTAGTGCCAAAGACACAGACAAATTATTGAATGAAGTAGCATTACTAAAGGAGAAGAACACGTCAATGGAAGGTGAGTTGAAGGAAATGCAACAGAGATACTCGGAAATAAGTCTCAAGTTTGCAGAGGTAGAGGGCGAAAGACAGCAGCTCGTGATGAAACTACGCAACCGTAAGAATGCACAAAAGAGCCTCGCTCTAAGCAGTCAGGCGCCTTTGCTTTAGAAAAATCCAGATGTGAATTTGTTTATTAAAGAAATAAAACTTGAAAGAAGAAGAAGAAGATTGATTGTATATATTGATGAATATGTTGGCTATTTCATCTTTTCCCCCATAGGATATACATATGCAATACAAAATGAGAGTAGTTTCAATTCTTAGGTTAATACATGCACCCATGTCTCCACATTTTTGTGTAATATTGTTTCATCTTCTTATTGTAAGAACAATAAGTGTTGTATCATTTTAGTTTTCTATGCATATATTCTTTTCATCTTTAAGCCAATATATTCTCTATCCTTCTGTATAGAAAGTTGAGCACTTGATACTTGATAGAGGAGATAGATCAAAACTGAGGTAAAAATGGAAACTTTTTGAGTAAATTAAAGTTTGATGTTACAAGTATTTCCTCTGTGAAATTTACAAGTGTGGCAAGAAATTCCTGAAGGTGGAGGAGTAATTAATAGTTACAGTTTACAATTAACCAGTCCAAACACTGTGACAATAATAGCCATAATCAGTGACTGATCAATCTGGGGCTCCACAACCAAGCTCAGTACATCTTCACCAAAGGCCAAACCTTGAGATGATTGCTTCTGTTTCACCTGAGAATTGGAACATTATTAATAAGCTAGCAAAGAAAAGTTATGATGTTTGATTTTTGGTGTGATGAATGGAAGAAAACCTTAAAAACTTAATTGTGGTAAAATAAATGGAGAAATTAAATTAACTAACCTCTGCAACTGTGTTGCCAGTGCTGTGGTCAACAATCTTGAAAGCAGATTTTCCATCTGATTTCTTCAACATGTAAGAGTTCCCATGGATGATCTTATCACAACTACCCACCCCAACATTACAAGTCAAGTCTCGTTTCAAGAATCTGCAACTCCTTCTCACTTGAAACCATGGCCTCCCCTTCAATAATCCACTACTGCTGTTCCATTTGTATCCGTTCCAGCGACCGAAAATTCTTAGTTTCTGAGAGGCAATTGATAAATAAATTTAGACTTTAAGATCAGTACAGTAAAAACTAACAGTACTGGTTTTTTGCTCCAAATACAATACATATATACTAACAGTTAATAATAATTACCTGTTTTTGAATGGAAAAGAGGACCTGGCCATGCAAATCCATGAGATAAACCTTGGTGCTGTTCTTTTCTTGATAATTATCAACTCTGAAAACGATTTCTCCTTTGGAATTATAGGCGGTGCAACCATTGCCATGGAAAACCAAGGATTTCATCCATATCGTAAGTGTTTCTCTTTTTGAAGTCACGTAGTTAGAACAAGAATTGGAAGATGATGAAGATATCTGAGGATGGATTTTAGCCGCCATTGAATTGAAATAGCTAGCAAGCAAGCAGATTGAATTGAAGACGAATTGAAGCGGCGGGCAAGGGTATATATAATAATACACGTACAGTAAGAAAACAGACAAAATTGAAAAAAATGAAGATAAAAACAGAAAGGGACAGACAAAAAGAGAGCATAGAAAGACGCAGGAAAGTGGAAAACATTTGACTTGCAACGATGGTTTGAGTGGAATTTGACGACAACCAATTCCTACTTTTCTCAGTTATGCTAGTGGCTGTTCTTTATCTATTTTATTTAATTTTTACACGTACCACTCCCTAAACTTTATGTATTAATTTAAGTGGAATTGACAATAAGGTTTTCATGGTTAATTACTTCATTTATTATTATTTCTTGCAAACCCATTTCAACTTGTCAACCTAATCATTCAAAACTGCAACCCGGCCTAATCAGAATTGGATAATCTGCAAACTTAATAAGCTTTGCATGCACGCATGCATGTTTTATGGTTTGCATGTGAATTTTTTAAAAAAAAATTATAAAGAAAATGATATTTAAAAGTTATATACTTATACGCATGTGAATAATGGAAGTTGTGGAGTATATATATAAATAATGACATGTAATATTAGATGCATGATTGATAAGAATACATATATAATCGTGTGGTAGTAATGCATCATACTTGTTTTCAAGTTATATATATACATTTGTGGCATCTGATAACTAATTGTCCCCACTTAATATAAATGTTTGATTAACTTTTTAGACTTTGAATTATCATATATAGATCAACTTTTTATATATTAATTAATGTTATGTGTGTATATATAGATCAACTTTTTAGACTTTGAATTATCATTTTTAGTTGTAAGAAAATTATCTTTGTAATAAACAAACAATCAGAAAAAGAAAAGTGAGAACAAATTAAAGTTGGTGTATGTGATGTCATACTATACACTCATATATATATATATATATATATATATATATATATATATATATATATATATATTCAAGATAATCATTGGCATTATTTTAATTAGCAATGTATGTTAATGTTAATTAATGTGTATATATATTATATATACTAATTAATACTTCTGTGTAACCGGAATTAGACCCCATTTCATCAATTAGGTGGTAATGTTCGGATATTATAAATAAATGCTTTTTAAAATTGCATGATCATTTTTTAGAGTTGGGAATATATAGTATGAAATAATTAATTTTATGCCACCTTGGTTTCCTTCTCCGTGACCGGTTACTGTTATAATAATAATAATAATAATAATAATAATAATAATAATAATAATAATAATATTATTATTATTATTATTATTATTATTATTATTATTATTATTATTATTATTATTATTAGTAGTAGTAGTAGTAATATTAAACCAAGTTGTTAGTTAATTGGTTAAAAATAATGGAAGTAATTATAGGTGCAGTACATGGCCGTGATGTTAGCTTTACATGGAGCATTAATTCCTTAATTTTAGCATTTGAGTTATCTTATCTAGTATAAATAGTCTTTGTATTCAAGCTTTTATCATCAATCAAGTGAAGTAATAAACATTTACTTCTATTCCTCTCTCTCTCTTCTCAATATATAAATATAATATATAGATATATTATATTTAATATATATTATAGATATATTATATTATATTTAATATATATTATATTAAATATATTATATTTAATATATCTAACATTTGGTATCAGAGCCAGTCAACCTTTCAACCCCGAGATATTTTCCGTAGTGAAATATGGCTGCAAATTTCAATATTGTATGGACGGGTCCCAAATTGGACGGGAACCTCGATTACAATTATTGGCAAATTATGATGTCCACACATTTGCAAGCTCAAAATCTTTGGAGCTTTGTTGATCCCGGTCTACCCGAAGGAGCTGATGCAGGCGCTATACGACGAGATAAATTGGCCTTGGGTCAGATTCACCAAGGTGTTCATTATTCCATTTTTGGGCAATTAGCTCGTGCTCAAACAGCAAAACAAGCTTGGGACATCTTAAAGGTGTCACACAAAGGAGTTGATCGGGCGCAGAAGTCTAAGTTGCAGTCGTTGAGAAGGTTGTACGATAATTGTGAGATGACCTCTACAGAAACAGTAGATGCGTATTTCACTCGTCTTATTGATATGGTGAATAAGATGAGGCTATATGGAGATACGATTGAAGATGGTGTAGTGGTTGAAAAAGTTCTTCGAACTATGCCGATGAAGTATGACCATGTGGTGGCTTCGATCACAGAGTCACACAAAACCGAGCTCTTATCAATTGCAGAGCTGAAAGGTATGGTAGAAAGTCATATTGACAGGATTGCGTCAAAATCGGAACCACTAGCAGAAGAAGCTTTGAAGAGCCAAGTCACCCTTAATGTGACTGGCACTAATCAAAGAGGTGGAGGATCTGGTAGAGGTCGTGGAAGAGGAAGAGGAGGTTCTAGTGGAAGAGGTCGTGGTAACTTCAACCAAGGAGGAGGACGTGGTAACTCCAACCAAGGAAGAGGTGGAGGTAATACCAAACAAGGTAAATTTCCATTTCATTGCTACAATTGTGGCAAGTATGGGCACAAGATTGCGGATTATTGGTATAATGAGGACAACAATCGTGGAAATCAAGCAAACATTGCTGAAAATACTGCTGAAAAGTTTGGTGAGAGTTCTGAAACTTTACTTTTAGCCAGCGATAGTTTTTCTGCAGATAAGAACATATGGTTCTTGGATACTGGGTGTAGTAACCATATGTGTGGGAAGAAAGAATTGTTTTCCGAACTAGATGAATCAGTCCAGTCTGAAGTAACGTTTGGTAATAAGTCAAAGGTGCCAATTTTGGGAAAAGGTAAAATCTCTATCCAGTTGAAGGATGGTACTCACAATTTTATATCCGATGTGTTCTATGTTCCTGAACTACACCAAAATTTGTTGAGTTTGGGTCAGTTGTCAGAAAAAGGATATAAGATACATATTGCTCAAGGGTGTTGTACCATTGAAGATGCTAAAGGAGTTTTGATTGCAAAGGTAAATATGTCCCAAAATCGACTATTTCATTTGAAAATTAAGCATACTCTCCTTGCTTGCTTTAATTCTGAAGTTTGTGATGATAATTGGTTATGGCATATGCGATTTGGGCATTTCCATTTCTCTAGATTAAACTATCTTGCGAGAAAGGAACGTGTTTCTGATTTACCTATTGTGAATGTCCCTGATCGTATTTGTGAGATTTGTGTGATTGGGAAGAAGCATAGAGATCCCTTTTCCATGGGCAAGTCAAGGAGAGCTACAAAACAGTTGGAGATTATTCACTCAGACCTATGTTCGTTGGAGGTTACCTCACATGGAGGTTGTAAGTACTTTATTACTTTCATTGATGATTTCAGTAGGAAAACATGGGTTTACTTTCTGAAGCAAAAGTCTGAAGCATGTGATGTTTTCAAACAATTTAAGGTTTTTGTTGAAAAGCAAAGTGGTTATGAAATTAAAATATGGAGAACTAATAGAGGTACAGAATATATTGCCTGTGATGATTTTCTGAAGAAGAAGGGTATTCAGCATCAAATGACAGCTAGATACACTCCACAACAAAACGGAGTGGCTGAGAGGAAGAATCGGTCTATCATGGATATGGTAAGGTGCATGTTGAAATCCAAGAATCTGCATAAGCCTTTTTGGGCAGAAGCTGTTGCTTGTGCTGTCTATGTGTTGAATAGGTGTCCAACTAAAAGTGTCCGTGATAAGACACCTGAAGAAGCTTGGAGTGGGAAAAAACCCTCTATCAAATATCTCAAGGTTTTTGGATGTTTGGCATATGCACATGTGCCAGATCCATTGAGAAAGAAGTTGGATGATAAAGGTGAGAAATGCATATTCATTGGTTATAGTGACGCTTCAAAGGCTTATAAACTATACAATCCTGAAACTAAAAAGGTTGTTATAAGTCGTGATGTCACTTTTGATGAATATGGTGCTTGGGATTGGTTAGCTAAAGATGAAAGTTCAGTTGTTATTCCTGCTGTTGAAAATATTGTTGAAGAGCAACCGATTCCAGATAATGTCCAGTCTCCTTCACAGCCAGAGTCGTCAGTTCGACGATCTCAGCGCGAGCGCCACTTACCAGCTCGCTTGCAAGATTATGTTTTGGGTCATGATAATGACTTGTCGGATGAAGAGATTATTCAATTTGCTCTTTTTGCAGATTGTGACCCTTTATCCATTGAGGAGGCTGCTACAGAAATTCATTGGCTTAAGGCGATGGATGAGGAGATTCGTGCCATTGAAAAGAGTGGTACCTGTGAGTTAACAGATTTACCTCCTAGGAAGAAGCCGATTGGAGTAAAGTGGGTTTATAGAACGAAATACAAGTCAGTATATCCATCTTGAAGACGGAGACATTTCTTAAATTGAAGAAAGAGATATTGGGATGACCAGTATATCCAACTTGGTTTAAAGGAGGCAATGTTATAATAATAATAATAATAATAATAATAATAATAATAATAATAATAATAATAATATTATTATTATTATTATTATTATTATTATTATTATTATTATTATTATTATTATTATTATTATTATTAAACCAAGTTGTTAGTTAATTGGTTAAAAATAATGGGAGTAATTATAGGTGCAGTACATGGCCATGATGTTAGCTTTACATGGAGCATTAATTCCTTAATTTTAGCATTTGAGTTATCTTATCTAGTATAAATAGTCTTTGTATTCAAGCTTTTATCATCAATCAAGTGAAGTAATAAACATTTACTTCTATTCCTCTCTCTCTCTTCTCAATATATAAATAATATATAGATATATTATATTTAATATATATTATAGATATATTATATTATATTTAATATATATTATATTTAATATATCTAATAGTTACCGTTTGCCGATCGCCGATCCTTTTTTACCTGCAAAAACCGTTTGCCGATCGCCGATCACTTTTTTACCTGAAATTTTGCTGGGTGGTCGGATCCCTAATGACATGTGATAGCAGGTCATTAATTGATTTTTGAGCTTCATTGCATCAAAATGAATTGTTGATAGTCTAATTGCACCTTTAAAAAATTTAATGGGCTAATTGACTTTTCAGCTAAAGTTTAATGACCTATTTGACTCTTTTCTCTTTATATTATATATGACCACATAGCTAGCTAGGTCGAGTTTGCATAGAAATAATGTTAGAAATTTGTGAGAATAATATATAACATGTAGTGCTCAGAGGTTAGAGTTGAAATTGGTGATTTTCAAATATGAGAATTATAATCTATCAATTCAACAATTCTTTTCGGAACCAATAATTACACTTTCTCTTTCTCTCTATATATATATAGAGAGAGAGAGGGAGAACGTACCAAATTAAAATCCAGCACTATTGCTTGTTACGTGGCATTTGGGGGAAGTTGTGCCTATCAAGAACTACTATACTGCATGTGATCTCAGGCTTATCAACAACAATATATATAATTAATACATACAAATACTAGAGTCTCATGGGTTCATGTTAATGCAGAAGAAGAATTAAATACCACAAGCGATGAGATAAACAATTAATAAAATGTATGTAAAATAATAATAAAATAAAGAATATGTGTGGATAATTATATATATATATATATATTAGTAGTGCATGGTGACGCATGCATGGATGGACACCAAGCTAGAATGAAGAGTCATTGTCGAAATTGAGTTGCGCCACTTATAAATTGCGTTTCATCTGAAGAATTTTATATCCATAATAATAAACAAATATATCATGTGGACTATATATATGCAGGTAGGTTTTAATATTAGGGGATTATTAGGTATAACTCCACTAATTAAGCTATTATAGGTTGTAATGAAAAAGGTGAAAAGGCATTAATCCATTCATGGCTGCCTTTACTTACATCCATTGGTTGAATTCTTGTTTCTTAAATTAACTAGTGCTGTGCCCTACCTTTAACTTTAAGTGGTGGACTTAGATTAATTGAGTTTTACTATTTTATTTTTAAAAATCTTTGATCGTTTCCATGTAGGAAAGCATTTAGTTAATTAGTTAAACTATAAGTGTAAAATATAAAGTATGAACATTAATGTTTGATAGTTGACACTATTATTGAACGATCAACACGTTAAACGGTCCAAACAATTTATTTCAAATATTAAATAATTTATTTACGGAAATATTAAATGGATCGAACAGCAAGCGTTGCATGAGGAAACAAAGAGATGATGCCAAAAAGGTTTGGTTGGAATTGAATGAGGATATATTCTTGGGGTGAAAAACAGAGAAAAAGTTGGAAGCTAGCAAAGCATATATAGGAATAGGATGACATGCAAGCTAAGCAAAAGAAATTTATGAGGATGGGAATGGACATTTTCAATGTTTTGCACCCAACCTAATATTCCGCCTTTATTACCAACGGGAAAAGCTTTAATAAATTTAAAGAAAAATTCCCAAATTCAGCACTCAGCATATTGTTTCAACTTTCCCTCCCTTACATTCTCAGAAGTCAGAACAAACCAAAAATAATAATATTCATTTTTTTTAAAAAAAAAATAGTATTTCGAGCATAAAATATACCATTAGTGGCATGGCATTTTTTTTATACAATTAGGAAGACTTCAACCTACTTGACCAAATTCTAAACGAAAATTATATTTGTATTAAATATTTTCAATTACTATTTGTAACATGCAATACATGTTACAAATTTTTACATTCTGAGTTAATAAGATATACTAGAATAAGAGGTAGTTAAAACAGTTGTTGTAACAGATTTGAAGTATGTCTTTATTGTAGTGGAAACTTTGTTGTGACATCTACTCTAACAAGCTCACTCTTTTGAAGACAACTAATGGCTAAGGATAAATGAGTCTTTCACTCAACCACACCCCAGGTTACAAGCTCTCACCCTGATCTAGTACATGTATAGACAACATTATTACTTGTTTTGACAGCCAAACATTATTGAAGAAAAAAGGCATGAACAGGTGGGGGCAAAGATTCCTTATTGTCTCCTTGACAAATTGAGGTTGAAAAAATGCTCCCACTCTCCAATCAAAGGTAAAAGGAGGTTGAAAATAATAACACTCTGTTTACACTACGCTAACAGTTTAATTTATGGTGGGAGTGAATTACATATTTAAATATAATATAATATTAAAATAAATAAAAATAAAGTTTATAAACATCATTACCTATCATCAATCCATCATGATTTTTTTTTAAAAAAATTTATTCTTATGTATGTCTTGCCAATCTCTAAATGACATGGCCCATTTATACTTTCAAGAAATTCAATGCCCAATTGTGTTTTCCAAGCCTGCTAAGATTAACGTGGCCCAATTTTTTATATAGGGTCTAATAATTTTTTTCTTCATATACAATAAAACAAAAAGACAAGAGTAAAATAGAACAAACAAGTAAACAAAACGTTGCATTATCGCGAGTTGTTATTTACATGTAGGCACTTTGATATAGTATTTTTTTTATTATATTCATAGATCAACGAATGTACTTGCTCACTCCATTGTTAGGGCAATAGATTCTCAGATTAATTCTTATATTTGGTTGTCTTCTATATCTTATTGTATTCAACATTTCTTCTATTTAAATATTCTGGGGGTTTTCCCAAAAAATAAAAACAAATAATAATAAACAAAACGTGATCTAATTACGTCCACGTTATTAATTGCTAAGAACGTCTTAATTCTATCCGGTGCATCCTCCAAAATTGCAAAGGAATCCGGCCTGTAGAATGTAGATACATATATAATTCCATACGCACCTCTATCTCTGCACTATGAATTTCAGTATTTCATGGAAGTTACATTAACAACAAATTGAGTTGTATTGAAATTAAATAAGTGTAGTATTATCCCAACATTCATTAAGTATACATAAAAATGACAAAATCTTCTAAGGTTCATGACTCATGAGTGGCTGAAATCTTGAATCCTGCTTGACACTCATTACTTAAATTATTTGAACTTGACCTATACTAGATAATAACTTATCAATTTTGAACATTCAACAAGATGCAAGTTGAGATCACAAGTAACCCGAGTACTCACTTGTTAATTAATCTATATTATTAAACACAGAGAAAAGCTCGTAGTCGTTACTCGGATGTGTGCTCTAAGTGAAACATATTTTATGGTCTTAATCAATAAAAAATTACATGATAAATCAATTTAGGTTGTTTATAACTGATCGATTCAAACAAAAAAAATAAATATGTTATCATTGACTTGTGTTTAAATGAGTGAATGATAACATTTGAGGTCAATATTTAATATTGTACAACTTTTATGCACAAAAGGAAGGGAAAGCAAATACAAGTAAATCAAAATTTGCCCCCACAGCCTCACTTTAGTTTCTTATTCTCCAATTGACCCCACAGCTTTTATTCCCTCACACTACCTCTAACTTTACACTCCCCTCAAATTTGCTAAAATACGCATATTCCCGGAATTCCATCAAGCTTTGTTGGGCGTAACATGAGGCAATCTTTTTACGTAAAAAGTCGTGCTTGAATTATATGTCCGTATTTTAATAATTTAGTATGTAAGAGTGTAAGACCACTTTCAATGTAGGAAATGTTGTTTTGACGTACGTTTCAAAGATGTTTTTTTTTTTTCAACAATTAAGATCTATCATCTATAGAATACTTTGAACTTATCGGTTCATAGATTAGACACTATGATGAATTGAAGAGTTATTAAAGATTTAATTTCTAATATTAAAAACAAGAATTTTATCTTGAGCATTTTCTTGTTTTATATATTGATGGATGGGCCACTGAGTAATGATGAAGAAGTAGTGGGAAAGAAAAGAGGAAGAAGACAGCGTACAGTGCATGAAAGTGTTTATATAAGGTTCATATATACGTGCAGGAAAAGAATTATATTAGTAGTGCTGTACTTGTTATCTTTTATATATCCATTAAAGAAATGAAAAGCTCAATAAAAAAGCTAAGGCAACTTCTCCGCAGAAGAGGAAGAAGAAGCTAAGTTTCCGAAAGGTGAAGAGAAAAGAATGGTGCAGGGAAGGGAGGCGGCGAAGGCGGTGTTTTCGGTTGCCGGAATGACTTGCTCTGCATGCGCCGTCACGGTGGAGAAGGCCGTCAAGAGACTCCCCGGAATTAAATATGCGGCGGTTGACGTCTTGAATAACAGGGCTCTAGTCTTGTTTTATCCAACTTCTGTCAATGTAAGTTGAAATTCTTCTGTTCTTGTGATTTTAGTTCCTCTTATCATTGCACTTATATGCTTCAATTCAATTTATTGTGACTATATGTCAAATCCTACTAAAATATTGAATTCAATAAATTAAGTCTCCGTTAGTTCATGACCCGTGACATTATAAACCCTTAGTTTGCCTAAAAACTACTCAGGAGGAAACAATCCTGCAAGCCATAGAAGAGATGGGATTCGAGGCAATGCTGATTAGTACAGGCGAAGATAGAAGCAGCAAGATAGCACTGAAAGTTGATGGAGTGGAAGGTGAAAATTCCATGATTTTGATTGCGAATTCTCTTGAAGCGCTCCCGGGTGTTGAGGATATTGACATTGATCCTCAGCTCAATAAGGTCTCTATTTCTTACGAATCAGCTGTAACAGGACCCAGAGTTTTTATTCAAGTAATCGAGTCGATTGGCTCTGCAGGGAGCTTCCAATTCAAGGCAAAGGTATATCCTGAAGGAGATAAAGAAGGTCACAGGCAGCAGGAAATCAGTCAATATCGTCGGTCCTTTCTCTGGAGCCTTGTTTTCACCATTCCTGTTTTCCTAACCTCCATGATCTTTATGTATATTCCTGGTATTAAAGACCTCCTTGACACCAAAGTTGTAAACATCGCTAACAATGGGGAGATTTTGAGGTGGTTGTTGTCTACTCCGGTCCAGTTTATAATTGGCCGGAGTTTCTATACTGGTTCTTATAATGCACTCCGCCATGGATCTGCAAATATGGATGTGTTGATTGCACTGGGGACAAATGCAGCTTACTTTTATTCTGTGTATTCAGTTCTGAGAGCTGCCACTTCCCCAGACTTTAAGTCTTGTAGAAGTGATTTTTTTGAGACCAGTTCAATGCTCATCACATTCATTCTTCTGGGGAAGTATCTTGAAGTGTTGGCCAAAGGGAAAACATCAGAAGCAATTGCCAAGCTCATGGAGTTGGTGCCTGAGAAAGCGATTTTGGTAACGACAAGTGAGGACAGTACTGAAGTAGAAGAAGAGATTGATAGGCGATTGATACAGAAGAACGACATGATTAAGATCCTTCCAGGTGATAAAGTTGCCTGTGATGGCATTGTTGTTAGGGGGAATTGCCATGTGAATGAGAGCATGATAACTGGAGAGTCGAGGCCGGTTGCTAAACGGGAGGGCGATTTTGTGATTGGGGGAAGTGTGAATGAGAATGGAGTGCTGCATATTAGAGCAACAAGAGTTGGTTCAGAGACTGCTCTTTCCCAGATTGTTAGGCTTGTTGAATCCGCACAAATGGCTAAAGCTCCTGTCCAGAAATTTGCAGATCGTGTTTCCAAATATTTCGTGCCTCTCGTAAGTATTGTAGTGCAACTAACATTAATAATTGTCATCAAATGTCTTTCTTTCTTCCTTTCTTTCTTTCAATATATATTTGGTAGAGCTTATTTAGGAACTTATAGTTTATTTTAAGCTACTAATAAGCTATAAGCTCTGTTTGGCTTTGCAGGTTATTGTTCTGTCGTTTTCGACTTGGCTTGCTTGGTTTTTAGCTGGAAAGCTCCATGGTTATCCCAGATCATGGATTCCTGATGCTTCTGTGAATAGCTTCCAACTCGCCCTTCAGTTTGGCATTTCTGTTATGGTCATAGCTTGCCCGTGTGCCCTTGGCCTTGCAACTCCCACTGCAGTTATGGTTGGCACTGGGGTTGGTGCTTCTCTTGGTATACTCATCAAAGGCGGCGGCCACGCATTAGAAACCGCACATAAGGTAACCTTAGCTTTCGTCTACTGCCCAACACAAACCACGCACCTTAAGAAGCAACAAAATTGATACTCATATGATGTTTGTTTGTTTAGGTGAACTGTGTAGTTTTTGACAAAACAGGAACTCTAACAGTTGGAAAACCAGTGGTTGTAAATACTAGGTTGTTGAAAACAGCAATCAGGCTGCAAGTGTTCAATGAATTGGTGGCTGCAACCGAGGTGAATAGTAAGCACCCTTTAGCCAATGCAATTGTTGAATATGCAAAAAAGATTAGAGAAGATGAGGAGGAGGGGGATAAATGGCCTGAAGCTCGGGAGTTCGAATCGATAACCGGGCATGGAGTGAAAGCTGTTGTACAAAATAAGGAAGTGGTAATAGGAAACAAGAGCCTGATGGTGAGCCGTGGCATTGCCATTGGAGATGATGCAGAGGATATATTAGCAGAAACTCAAGAGTTGGCTCAAACTGGGATTCTTGTGGCCATTGATGGAGAGCTTGTTGGAGTTCTTGCTGTGTCAGATCCTTTGAAGCCCGGCGCGGCTCAGGTCATTTCCATCTTGAAATCTATGAAGGTGAAGAGTCTCCTGGTAACAGGCGACAACTGGGGAACAGCGAATTCCATTGCTAAGGAAGTTGGGATCGACGATGTTGTCGCAGAGGCTAAACCTGAAGATAAAGCCAAGAAAGTAAAAGAACTACAGGCTTCAAGAAAAGCTGTAGTGGCAATGGTGGGAGACGGGATCAACGACTCTCCGGCGCTGGTGGCAGCTGATGTCGGAATAGCGATCGGCGCCGGCACAGATATAGCCATAGAGGCGGCCGACATCGTGCTCATGAAATGCTACCTTGAAGATGTTATTACGGCCATCGATCTTTCCCACAAAACCTTTTCTCGTATCCGTTTGAACTACTTGTGGTCTTTGGGTTACAATCTCCTGGGAATTCCAATAGCCGCAGGGGTTCTTTTTCCGTCCACCGGCTTCCGCTTACCTCCGTGGATCGCCGGAGCAGCCATGGCCGCCTCGTCGGTGAGTGTTGTCTGTAGCTCTCTTTCCTTGAAGAATTACAGGCCGCCAAAAAAACTGGATAGGATGGAGATGCTACCAGTAACAATCCAGTGATTGTACGTTCACACTTGTATAATATATATATTATACTATTTGCCTTTGATTTGTGTCAAATCGGAATCCCAACACTATACGAAAAAACCAGCCATATATATATACTAGTCTTTTTACGCGCATTGCCCGATTGAGATAATGCCCAATATTTTTTTTTTAAATAAGTACTATAAAATATATCAATGCAAGATTATATTGGAATTATTCATGCATAGATAATTGAATGTTGAATATGCATATTTAAATAGGTAATTCTAAGTTTACAAATGCAAGATAATATAGTCAAGATTGATTATAATTGTCAATAAAATAATTGTATGGGTATGGTTGAAACCAAATACAGGAAATAAGGGAGAGCAAATAAAAATTAGGGCATAAAATATTAAATATACATTAATATTGAAGAGCTAACTGCTGGTTGCCAAACAAGGACATTGCGAAATAGTTTTCCACTTCAATTTGTTGTGTGATTTGAATATTCTTTTTTGTCAATAAATCTCTCAATTAAGTAGTTAATATGATTGACTTAATTATATATATTTTTTTATTTTTTATAACAATTATTATTATTATTATTATTATTATTATTATGATTATGAAATATATGTATACCCTTAAGTCATTTTACATGTTATTATTATACTAGTAATAATAATAATAAACTCTATTGTGAGACCGTCTCACATATCTTTAATCGTGAGACGGGTAGGGTCATATCATATCAATATGAAAATGTATTATTTATACGAAAAAAATATAATATTGATCATGAAATAAAATATTTGTTAAATATAATATTGATCATGAAATAAAATATTTGTTACTTATAAAGAAAAAACGTTACATTTTGATGTAAACGTATTAAATTTTTCATTAAAAGTATTACATTTTTCCTTATAAGGTTGACAAGCGTTTGCTACTTATAACGAAAAATATAATACTTTCAAATCAAAATGTAAAAGTATTACATTTTTCTATATAAATACTCCGTAATAAACATTTTGTTCCTATTATTATATTTTATAGTATAAATATTATATTTTAATCTTGACTAACTTATTTCATAGATAAAGATTCGAAAAACAGTTCCACACAAATTTTTACCTTTTTATCTTTTAAAAGTTGGTAACGAAGAATTAAAAAAAAAAAAAAGATTTGTTAAACCCTCTCAACGCCTCAATCCTCTCCCTTAAGTCGGCGCCGTGGTATCTCCCCGCCACTCGCAGCCGCCGATCTCTCTTTTTCTTGTTCCTCACTCTTCTCATATTATCACCGCCTCTCTTAGAACAAAATTGTCTTCAAAATAAGGATTGGAGTAAGACCGTTGGAGGGGATGGCTGTGATTTCAAAAACATAAGACCGTTGGAGGGCTACCTTAGATGGCTGTGATTTCAAAAACATAAGACCGTTGAAGCGCCTATTCCACAGCTTTAAAGGGGGCGACATCTCAACTCTTCCAATCGGGCTTGTTCCTTTGTTTATAGATATAGAGAAAGATCGCAGAGAGAGTTGGAATAGGAGGAGGAGGAGGAAGGGCTACGAGATACCCAGAAAGAAGACGATTTGATTTTCCGAGGCATATCTGAAAGAATGGCTTCAAGACCCGTGGTTCAACAGCAAAATAGAGTAGGTAATGATATATCTGATTTCGAAGATTTTATTACTACTATGATTCTTTAATCTCGCTCGATTGATGGGTTGATAAAGGTTATTTGGGCTTCTTGATTTTCCGATTTTTGGACTTGTTTCACCTAATCCAGGGCTCGGAGTTGTGTTCTTGACTGTTCATGAACTGTTTGATTTATTTCATACTGGTCTCTTGATTGGTTTTTTTCAATCTTTCTTTTCATGAGTTAGTAATGTGTTTCTGAGTTGATGTATGAAACCTAAGATTGTTAGAATTCAACTTTTATGTAAATTTATTTGATTTGGAGTGATTAAGATACAATTCATAAGAGACTCTTGTCCTTATAGATCAGAAACATTTTGTGTTAAAAACCCCTTTTTTTTTGGGTGTTTGTTACCTAATGGAATGCTTTCTTTCAATTTTTCTGATTTAATGTATGAAAACAAGGAGTGTTAAAAGCCAGTTAGTCTGTAAATTTATTTGATTTGGAGTAATTTATAGATCAGAAGAGAAATATTCTTTGTTAAAAAGTCAGATTTTTTGGGTGTTTGTTACTTGTAATGGAATGCATTTCTTTGGATTTTTGTCTTCATGATTTACCAGAGTGTTTCAGATTTGATGTATGAAAAATAGTCTTTCAATTTATTTGATGGAGTAATTAAGATGAAATTTTATAAGAGACTATCTTTAATTTTTGGGTGTTTTCTTGCCTAACATAAATGAATTGCAGATTTGCAGTTGAGGGAATAAAGCAAAAGAACATGGTGGCAGAGGGAAGGAACTGTCGGGAACTTGGGGATATTGGCAATATGGTTACCGTTCGAGGGGTTGAAGGCAAGCAAACCTGAAGCTGTGATTGTAATCATCCCTGACACTAAAGAAGAGGTGAAGGAAAAGAGCAGCCTCCGCAGAAAGGCAGGTAGCTAAGAATCAGTCTTTTATAGAAGGAGCAAAAATAAACATAACCGTTAAGATTATTTTGTGTAACCATGCTTATTTAAGTGATGTTTCATTCGTTTTTCTGTTTCAACTATCTTCATTTAAGAGGCGCTTAACGTTTTGCATAGGCTGCTTGTGGACTGAACATTAAATTACCAAAGTAGAAGATTGAAGATATTGATGGTGGAGATGAGCAATTGTGGAGTATGCAGAAAACATTTACAAATTTGGCTACAAGGAAGCTGAGGTACACATCTTCTATCATTTATACTCTTTCATTAATGCTTCTCTAAATGTTATACCATTGCCTGATTTTAAAATTACTATATAAGGTTAGTGTTTACTGTATATGGCTAAATCAATATCAAATAGGGAGGTTTGTTAATTGTTAGTATCAGAGTCTTTAGTTTATAAAATACTCTCTTAAACTTTCAAAAATTTCAAACTACGTTCTATAGCTTCCAAAATCATTTTCTAAATTATCAAACTACTCTCTTTAGCTTCCAAAATCTTTTTCAAAATTACCAAACAACTCTCTTTATCTTTAGCTTCCAAAATACTTTTCAAAATTATCAAACTACTCTCTTTAGCTTCCAAAATCATTTTCAAAATTATCAAACTACTCTCTTTAGCTTCAAAAATCATTTTCAAAATTATCAAACTACTCTCTTTAGCTTCCAAAATCATTTTCAAAATTACCAAACTACTCTCTTTCGCTTCAAAAATCATTTTCAAAATTACCAAACTACTCTCTTTTGCTTAAAAACCATTTTCAAAATTACCAAACTACTCTCTTTACTTTCCAAATTCATTTTCAAAATTATCAAACTACTCTCTTTAGCTTCAAAAATTATTTTCAAAATTACCAAACTACTCTCTTTAGCATCCAAAATCATTTTCAAAATTATCAAACTACTCTCTTTCGCTTCCAAATTCATTTTCAAAATTATCAAACTACTCTCTTGAGATTCTAAATTCATTTTCAAAATTATCAAACTACTCTCTTTAGCTTTCAAATTCATTTTCAAAATTATCAAACTACTCTCTTTAGCTTCCAAAATTATTTTCAAAATTATCAAACTACTCTCTTTACCTTCCAAAATCATTTTCAAAATTATCAAACTATAATCTCTTTAGCTTCCAAAATCATTTTCAAAATTATCAAACTAATCTCTTTAACTTCCAAAATCATTTTCTAAATTATCAAACTAATCTCTTTAACTTCCAAAATCATTTTCTAAATTATCAAACTACTCTCTTTATCTTTAGCTTCCAAAATCATTTTCAAAATTACCAAACTACTCTCTTTATCTTTAGCTTCCAAAATTCTTTTCAAAATTATCAAACTACTCTCTTTAGCTTCCAAAATCATTTTCAAAATTACCAAACTACTCTCTTTTGCTTAAAAACCATTTTCAAAATTACCAAACTACTCTCTTTACTTTCCAAATTCATTTTAAAAATTATCAAACAACTCTCTTTAGCTTCTAAAATTATTTTCAAAATTACCAAACTACTCTCTTTAGCTTCCAAAATCATTTTCAAAATTATCAAACTACTCTCTTTCGCTTCCAAATTCATTTTCAAAATTATCAAACTACTCTCTTGAGATTCCAAATTCATTTTCAAAATTATCAAACTACTCTCTTTAGCTTTCAAATTCATTTTCAAAATTATCAAACTACTCTCTTTAGCTTCCAAAATCATTTTCAAAATTATCAAACTACTCTCTTTACCTTCCAAAATCATTTCAAAATTATCAAACTATAATCTCTTTAGCTTCCAAAATCATTTTCAAAATTATCAAACTAATCTCTTTAGCTTCCAAAATCATTTTCTAAATTATCAAACTACTCTCTTTATCTTTAGCTTCCAAAATCATTTTCAAAATTACCAAACTACTCTCTTTATCTTTAGCTTCCAAAATCTTTTTCAAAATTATCAAACTACTCTCTTTAGCTTCCAAAATCATTTTCAAAATTATCAATCTATTCTCTTTAGCTTCCAAAATTATTTTCAAAATTACCAAATTACTCAATTTAGCTTCAAAAATCATTTTCAAAATTACCAAACTACTCTCTTTAGTTTCAAAAACCATTTTCAAATTTATCAAACTACTCTCTTTTGCTTCAAAAATCATTTTCAAAATTACCAAACTACTCTCTTTACTTTCCAAATTCATTTTCAAAATTATCAAACCACTCTCTTTAACTTCAAAAATTATTTTTAAAATTAACAAACTATTCTCTTTAGCTTCCCAAATGATTTTCAAAATTATCTAACTACTCTCTTTTGTTTCCAAAATCATTTTCAAAATTACCAAACTACTTTCGTTAGCTTACAAAATCATTTTCAAAATTATCAAACTAATCTCTTTAGCTTCCAAAATCATTTTCAAAATTATCAAACTACTCTCTTTATCTTTTAGCTTCCAAAATCATTTTCTAAATTATCAAACTACTCTCTTTAGCTTCCAAAATCATTTTCTAAATTACCAAACTACTCCCTTTAGCTTCCAATATCTTTTTCAAAATTACCAAACTACTCTCTTTAGCTTCCAAAATCTTTTTCAAAATTATCAAACTACTCTCTTTATCTTTTAGCTTCCAAAATCATTTTTTAAATTACCAAACTACTCTCTTTAGCTTTCAAATTCATTTTCAAAATTATCAAACTACTCTCTTTAGCTTCCAAAATCATTTTCAAAATTATCAAACTACTCTCTTTATCTTTTAGCTTCCAAAATCATTTTCTAAATTATCAAACTACTCTCTTTAGCTTCCAAAATCATTTTCAAAATTATCAAACTACTCTCTTTGGCTTCAAAAACCAATTTCAAATTTACCAAACTACTCTCTTTAGCTTTTAGCTTCCAAAATCATTTTCTAAATTATCAAACAACTCTCTTTTGCTTCAAAAATCATTTTCGATATTTTCAAACTACTCTCTTTAGCTTCAAAAATCATTTTCAAAATTACCAAACTATTCTCTTTTGCTTAAAAACCATTTTCAAAATTACCAAACTACTCTCTTTACTTTCCAAATTCATTTTCAAAATTATCAAACTACTCTCTTTATCTTCAAAAATTATTTTTAAAATTACCAAACTACCCTCTTTAGCTTTCAAAATCATTTTTAAAATTATCAACTATTCTCTTTCGCTTCAAAATTCATTTTCAAAATTATCAAACTACTCTCTTTCGCTTCAAAAATCATTTTCAAAATTACCAAACTACTATCTTTTGCTTAAAAACCATTTTCAAAATTACCAAACTACTCTCTTTACTTTTCAAATTCATTTTCAAAATTATCAAACTACTCTCTTTAGCTTCAAAAATTATTTTCAAAATTACCAAACTACTCTCTTGAGCATCCAAAATCATTTTCAAAATTATCAAACTAATCTCTTTCGCTTCCAAATTCATTTTCAAAATTATCAAACTACTCTCTTGAGATTCCAAATTCATTTTCAAAATTATCAAACTACTCTCTTTAGCTTTCAAATTCATTTTCAAAATTATCAAACTACTCTCTTTAGCTTCCAAAATTATTTTCAAAATTATCAAACTACTCTCTTTACCTTCCAAAATCATTTTCAAAATTATCAAACTATAATCTCTTTAGCTTCCAAAATCATTTTCAAAATTATCAAACTAATCTCTTTAGCTTCCAAAATCATTTTCTAAATTATCAAACTACTCTCTTTATCTTTAGCTTCCAAAATCATTTTCAAAATTACCAAACTACTCTCTTTATCTTTAGCTTCCAAAATTCTTTACAAAATTATCAAACTACTCTCTTTAGCTTCCAAAATCATTTTCAAAATTACCAAACTACTCTCTTTTGCTTAAAAACCATTTTCAAAATTAACAAACTACTCTCTTTACTTTCAAAATTCATTTTCAAAATTATCAAACAACTCTCTTTAGCTTCTAAAATTATTTTCAAAATTACCAAACTACTCTCTTTAGCTTCCAAAATCATTTTCAAAATTATCAAACTACTCTCTTTCGCTTCCAAATTCATTTTCAAAATTATCAAACTACTCTCTTGAGATTCCAAATTCATTTTCAAAATTATCAAACTACTCTCTTTAGCTTCCAAAATCATTTTCAAAATTATCAAACTACTCTCTTTACCTTCCAAAATCATTTTCAAAATTATCAAACTATAATCTCTTTAGCTTCCAAAATCATTTTCAAAATTATCAAACTAATCTCTTTACCAAAATCATTTTCTAAATTATCAAACTACTCTCTTTATCTTTAGCTTCCAAAATCATTTTCAAAATTACCAAACTACTCTGTTTATCTTTAGCTTCCAAAATTCTTTACAAAATTATCAAACTACTCTCTTTAGCTTCCAAAATCATTTTCAAAATTACCAAACTACTCTCTTTTGCTTAAAAACCATTTTCAAAATTACCAAACTACTCTCTTTACTTTCCAAATTCATTTTCAAAATTATCAAACAACTCTCTTTAGCTTCTAAAATTATTTTCAAAATTACCAAACTACTCACTTTAGCTTCCAAAATCATTTTCAAAATTATCAAACTACTCTCTTTCGCTTCCAAATTCATTTTCAAAATTATCAAACTACTCTCTTGAGATTCCAAATTCATTTTCAAAATTATCAAACTACTCTCTTTAGCTTCCAAAATCATTTTCAAAATTATCAAACTACTCTCTTTACCTTCCAAAATCATTTTCAAAATTATCAAACTATAATCTCTTTAGCTTCCAAAATCATTTTCAAAATTATCAAACTAATCTCTTTACAAAAATCATTTTCTAAATTATCAAACTACTTTCTTTATCTTTAGCTTCCAAAATCATTTTCAAAATTACCAAACTACTCTCTTTATCTTTAGGGTCCAAAATCCTTTTCAAAATTATCAAACTACTCTATTTAGCTTCCAAAATCATTTTCAAAATTATCAAACTATTCTCTTTAGCTTCCAAAATTATTTTCAAAATTACCAAATTACTCAATTTAGCTTCAAAAACCATTTTCAAAATTACCAAACTACTCTCTTTAGTTTCAAAAACCATTTTCAAATTTATCAAACTACTCTCTTTTGCTTCAAAAATCATTTTCAAAATTACCAAACTACTCTCTTTACTTTCCAAATTCATTTTCAAAATTATCAAACCACTCTCTTTAACTTCAAAAATTATTTTTAAAATTACCAAACTATTCTCTTTAGCTTCCCAAATCATTTTCAAAATTATCTAACTACTCTCTTTTGTTTCCAAAATCATTTTCAAAATTACCAAACTACTTTCTTTAGCTTACAAAATCATTTTCAAAATTATCAAACTAATCTCTTTAGCTTCCAAAATCATTTTCAAAATTATCAAACTACTCTATTTATCTTTTTGCTTCCAAAA